AGAGAGAGAGAGAGAGAGAGAGAGAGAGAGAGAGAGAGAGAGAGAGAGAGCGAGAGATGGGCGAAGCTCGTAACAAAATTACTCGTTCCGAGAGCCGGAGAAACCGGTTCTCTGTCGCGAATCGCGAGAGTTTCTCGCTCGTTCGCCTTGCTTGTGTGTGTGTGTGTGTATGTGCGTGCGCGCTGTTTCCACTCGGACGCGAATACATTGACACGAGTGCGCACATACGTACGTACACACGTAAGTATCGTTTGCGCGGAGATGCCAAGGATTAGAGATGGGTATATCACGTCGCGCGCGACTTTCCGACTCTCGCAAGCGGCGGCGACCTTGCCGTGGCGCGCCGTTGCGAGAGAGGCAGCCGTCGCTCTCCGCCATGAATTTCGCCACGAAACCGAGAACACCGCGTGTCACACGAGGAGTGCTCTCGACGGCTTGTGAAACGCTTCGCGACGCCCGAAATCATCTCTGAAATGAGCTTATCAGTGCTTCATTACTCCTTACTCTCCAAAGTACAATCAGTGTATTCTTTGCTGAATTACTGTATACTTTTCTAACTAAGAGTTTAATTGGGAAATCATAGCATTCTGTCATCAGGATAATCTTACAGAAAGAGTAGATGGATAGATTAATTCATCATGCGCGTTGGATAAAATGCCTCTCAAGCGCAGAAAACCAAATTTATACAGAATATAAACTGAACAACTACAGAGGTGAGAACTATATAGGCAAAAAGAAAATTGATTACAAGGGATCAGTTAATAGCAGCGACTCTCTTCCCATTATTGATACACTTTTCAAACATAGACATTGCGCGCGAGATGTATGCAAGCCGGTAATTCCATCGTCACGAATGTAGAAAGTTGGATTCGGATATATTACAGATTTTGTAACAGTTGAAATTTTACTTGCACTAGTATCAAAATCAGAGTGAAATGAAATAGTAAAGCGGAAATGTTTCCATTGAAAATCAGTGAATATTTACTGATCGTCGGTGAAATAGCCCTTTCACCGATTCAATTAGAAACATTTGTACTGATTCGCTTCAAGAGAGTGGATTTTAATTCAACCTGGATCGATCCACCTTCTATTTTTGTCCGATTCAAACATGTCACGTTCTCCGCACAGGAAATCTAAAGAAATCTCAGTCTGCTCTTTACATAACGCCTGTTACATAAAGATAACAGGCGGCGGATGTAATATCTTTCACCGAGCGCGGGCAAGAAAGGACGATCGGCCGAGGATCGATTAAGCCATCCGAAACTTCCGACTATCCTCCAGTGTGTAATAATTACGATCACCGCGTGCGAATAATTAATTAAATTGTTCCACGTGCGTGTGCGCGCTACGTCGCGTGTACGAGACAGCTACTTGTCGGGAGCGCGTCGCTTTCTATCTTGCAGGGGCGTCTATCGCGACAGCAAGAAGCGTTTCAGGCTGCGACTAGTCCCTTTGTTCGGGCTGCGGGCTACGCATTACGATTCATTATAATGAAGATAGTTCGCGAGGTAGACTACCTTGAGGATAATGAGCCGATTATATACGGACCGTACACAATGAGACTGTCTTGATTATAATGAATTCGCCGAGAACAGGGACGAGGAGCGAGCGAGCGAGAAGAGATCTTGCTCGAATAGCCGATGCTCTCCTTCCCGGATACTGCTGGATGCTGCTGGTATAGCTGTCGATGCATAAGCGCGAGTGGAATTCGAGAATAAGAAGCCAGAGAGAGAGAAAGAGAGAGAGAGAAAGAAAGAGAGAGAGAGAGACTAGAGCCAAGGTGTCGGAATGTGTGGAACGAGCGACGAACATGGCTTACCGTTACACATTTCTGCGAAAGAACGTCGTCGTGAAAATGACCGCTCCTTAAGCCTTTCTCCCTGTCCTGAAAAAAGAAGGCCACAGTGGTTTTCTACTTTCCTCTTGCCTCGCTGAGAGGAATCGGCTTCTCGATTCTGTCGAAGCGGGGGAATGCTCGTGAAAAGTTTGCACGCGTTAACGTCCATCATCGCTGTGTGATAATGGACTTTTCATCTCGCTACGTTGATGCGTTGCGCGTGTCAATTTTACACGACGATTGATATTTCGACTCTACATGTTCGATCTGTCGCGTCGCAGTGAACATTTCATCGCGTAACGTTTTACTTTACCCGTTACACGGAGATAGGCGAAGTGAAAAAGAGCCTTTTTTGTCCCCCTTCAATTCTCTTTCTCTCTTTTTCTCGGTTTGACATGTATCGTTAACGCGTTAAAAAGCTTGTTTTCCCCGTCGCGTCGACGTTTGCGACGAATTTCTCGATATCGGACGGAAAAATGCGGGCATAAAAGAGAAATGTGCACACTCGCTGGCTGTCGTCGCTAATGCATACGCCGTCGGAGTCGCTCGATTCGGCGCACGTTCGCGAAGTGCAGTCGCGACTTGGCGTTGAATTTTTCGCGTCGCTCTCGCCGGCATATCCACGCTTCATGAATATTCCAGCGTTGATTACCGAGATGCCATGCTATTGTTGCTTACCGGAACAGCCGTTGCTCGTTCGCGTCCGAGCCACGAAATTCCGAGCTCGACGCGAAACGCGATATCCTCGCTCTTCCTCCCTCTCCCTGCCTCCTCTTTCTCTTTCTCTCGAGTCGAGGTAGGAAGATTTCGATACGGCGCGACGTGGTCGAGATGCTCGGGCGAACGAGAGGTCGGATTGTTTTCACCCGTTCGTAATTAAATTGTTGTGTACGGGCGATATCAATTTGGCGCAATTACTCGTTAAGGGATCGCGTGTCGTCGTTTAATGAAATTACGCGACTGTAATATTTGGCTATCGCGCTCATAAAGGTACACGATGACTGGTTTTGAAATAAAAGCATCGTGTGAACAAGAAAGAGAGAGAGAGAGAAAGAGAGAATGAATGAGTGAGTGAGTGAGTGAGTAACTGAGTAAGTGAGTGAGAGAGAAGAAGAGAGAGCGCCAAATATGTAATTATTAGCATGAACGATGATTATTACCTACATTATGCTACGTATGAGCCGCGTGAGAACGCGATCGCTCGCGTGTCTTTGAACCGGGATTAACCTTTTGCAAAGTTTTGATGGATCACCTAGCATTACAAATTGCCCGCTTAATCCATCACCAAGTTCAGCAATTGTGGCAATTATTTTAGCGCTCGCATGCACCTCTTCGTCGTAGCCCGCTCCAGCTTAAGCCGTCTTGAATTGCGTGCGCGTGCACGCGCGTTGCGCAGTGTTAATCCGAGAGAGGTGCAATGACTCGCGCTTCGAACGCACTTCGACAAGTACGAGAGGAAAATCACGGCAGTTTTAATTCAAGCCTCTCGACATACACAGAGTTGTTCCTTTTTTAGGATATATATCAGACAACGTACTTCCGACTAACCCGCGTTTCTTTTTGCGCTTTTGTTGTAGGTCCTCGATCCATCCCTGAAGCGGGTCTCCCACACGTTATGGTGCAGTCTGCATAACGACCGTTCGACGTATGGCACTGCAATGAACAAGTGAGTGAATAATTTATTTTTGAATCGTAGAATTCCTTCATTTTTTATCTTAAAACTCTACACGGAGAGATATAAAAATTATTATAGAACTTTATCTATCTATCTATCTATATATATATATATATAAACCTCGTATAAACCGAAAAATAGATCGACATTCTGCAGTAATTGACCATCTTTGCGTTTCATGTGTAATTTATATTTCAAGAAGTGAAATATGCTGTTAAAAAATTTATTGTTTCTAGAGAAACTCAATATGTTCCTCAGCAAGATAAATTTTACCGATTCCTATACTATTGAGAATATGAAAGTAAAATTGAAGAGAATTTATGTGAAAAAATATAACATTCTCACTGTGCACCCTTCTACATTTATGTGGTTGGGAGTGCTTTCGACTTTGTATTCCGAAGCAGCAGTTGTAATAATAATGCGAGAATTAATCTCGTCCGCTGAGACTTTGCGTTCGACCGGCCTCGTAGATTCTAATCGCCGAGGCGCGCGAAGCTGCGATCAATAAGTCCCACGATCGGGCCGCGGATGCCGCGAGCGGGACGTATTGCTGTCTCGCAATCGTAAGAAAATGCTCGTTTCTACGGTTACAATTACGATTGCGATCGTAAATCAGCTCGCGCGGCGGAGAAGCGTCGCGTCGCGTCGTGTTTCTCGTTGCCGAAGGGTTCGCCGTCGACCGCCTCGTATGACATAAACGTTATACGAGCGAGCGCGGTACTCTGTTGCCGCCGTGCGTGCACGACCGCGCGATATAGTTACCCGCATAGTTACAGCCGAGCATTATCATTGTCGGTGCGCGTAATTGCTTCCACACATGCGCGATCACGAGACCGCAACGGGCCCCGTCGGGCCTGCACGCCCTACACGGGGTTGGTAGGCTCGGACCTCAGGCAAGGTTAAACACCGCGTTTGTTTGTGTGTGTGTGTGTGTCCGTGCGCTCGTTACACATTCGGGAATATTGCGTTATGTACCTCACAATAGGTTATCATAATTTATTTAGTCGATCTCTCGCGAGAAGCTCGCATGTATCCCTCGGAGGCAGGCTCAATTCCTCATCCAGAAGCACATTCGAAAGTATTATATCATGTGCTTCGTAACAAATTATTATAATTTATATGGCATGTTCCTCTCTGTCTGAAAAAGAGAGAAAGAGAGTTCATGTGAGTTTTTGAAGAGTTTCGTAACGAGGTAAAAGGGTGATTTATTTTTGCGCACATAAATCTTTTCCAAGTTGGGTCTTAAGAGTCAGTGAGAGGCGTTCGACGTTAATTAAAAACATGTTTCGGGAAACATCGTTTGTTCAAGGCCTCCCGGCAATTTTCGTCCGGCATCATCAGATCGTAAACGAGAAGAAGCAAAGCACAGTGGCGATATAAAAAGAACGAGTGAGAGAGAGAAAAAGAGAGAGGGGGAGAGAGGCCTTTGTCAAACCGAGTCGCGTTATCGCCCTGCGGTCGTCGTTGTGACGAGTTACGATGTAACGGCGTTTTAAAGCCCTCCCGCTGTCCTCTCGTCACCCTCTTCGTTCCGTCGTGCTCTTTTTCCTCGTTTTTCGCGATGGGTCGTGCGTGCAAACGCCGCGAACATTGTTTTGCCGGGCATCGTCGCGGTTCGTCCACGTTCGTCCGTTGCAACGCGTGTCCTCCAGTCGCGGCAAACGAAGTCGGGATCCGCGATTCCGCTCGAATACATCATTGCCGTTGGTTCTCGTCAGTGCGTGGGAGGAATCGTGAATTTCTCACCGTAACGTTAAAGGGACTCAGTCGTCAGCGCGCACGACCAATTCGTGCCTTGTAATTGCGCAAGTTACCTTTTACTCATTGCGAGCTACTTCGTGCTCTGTTTTTTCCGACTCTCTTTTCAGAAATTCGTCACTCTCCGGCACTTCCGTGTCTCAAAACGCTCATTTACGTAAACGTTCCTCAGGAGAGTGAAGAGAGAGAGAGAGAGAGAGAGAGAGAGAGAGAGTGTGTGAGAGAGAGAAAAAGAATAGATACAGCTTCGTCATAAATCACTCTTCTTCGTCGCGCAACCGGAAACTTAAGTTTCCGACAGAAACCTATACAGTAATCGTAGACAGCATGATGGTTTTTGGATAGGAGAGGTTAATCCATCACCGGATCGAAAATAGCGAGATCTGGATGGGTATCGGCGATATGTATCGCGAGCGGGAGGCTGCGAGAGAGCGGAAGGGAGAGGAAGGGGATGGTCGAAGGGGGACCGCGGAATTGAATGCGACGAGAAAGGGCGCGCGTCGGGCCGGCAGAAATTGAAACGTCGTGCGGAAATTGAACGGCACGGGCGAAACCTTTCGGTCCAGTACCGATGCGGAAATGGAAGCGTCGCTTGTAAACTGAAAACCTTATAAATCTCAGCCCGGCATTTTTCGCGGCCGGAGCCGCTCTCGAGCGTGAGAATTTCGCGGGGTCGCCGCGAGAACCACGCAATTGTGCGTTGTGCTTTCTTTCGCGTGCCCATCGTCGCAAATATCGAGAAGATAGTCTCTGTTCTCTTGCCTCAATTGCCGCATATGACGTGACGTGTTTCCCCTCGAGCGTCTTCCGCGGAGTGCCGTAACGATGACGCGGCGTCGATCAAATTAACGAGCACCGTAAAACCATTGGGAAACGGTGACTATCAATTTCGTGGACGCCATAAAATTAATAAAACGAGAAACGAGATAGCTGCCGTTGATCGTGCACGCTCGGAGAATGTCGGACGTTTCGCTTACGACGGTCACGATCGTCGCGAAAGTAAAAGTCGCGCGGATAAAAGTTTTCTCTTCGATTTAAATCTCCTCCAACCGCCTCTCGCTCGCTACTTCAGTTTCTTCTAAACACAGAGTTCCGGATACGTTCTCTTGATACCGAGAGACTCCTCCGCGACTTTCAGACGCGCGCGCTTTCGCAAAATAATATCTCATATGAATATAACCGAGGGAGAAGTGAGCGAGAGCGAGAAATTGAGATGGAGAACGAGCTTGCCTCGGAGATCTAAGTTGTTCTTCCGACGAACTCCTCCATTCGATGGAACATGGCTCATTAATATTCGCGTAGCGGAGATCGCGAATTCAGGTTGATTTGTTTCGGCGAACCGACGCGTTTGGCTCTTCTTCAGAAGCACGTGGAGTGCGCGCTATATTTTGCCAGGTGTAAGAACATTTTGTCAACGCGACTAAATGGAGAGAATATTTTCTTTATCTCGATGAGTACATAAATAGATTGTCAAGGTCAAATCAAGAAAAATAAGGCTGCCAGGAGCCAGTTATGGATAATTTTTTATCCATATGGATAAGTTAGAATAATTTTTTAAATCACAGAAGGATGTATATGTTCTAATGTATGATGACGTTGGTTCACATATTGGCTGAAAAAGCATTCAGTTTATTTTCGATTCAATATAATCCAACGTATCTCGCAATTCTTAAAAATAAAGTCAACTAATCCATTATTTAGTTGGAAGTAAGTATTGCGGGAACTTAATTGATATTAATAATTAGGATTTAGAATAAATTGGATTCTCCGTGTGTATTGTAAATCCGACAAAATATTCGAAGCATCATGCGTTCATTGTATATTCAAATGTACATATTCTTCCGTGATTTACAAAATTATTATTCCTACCAATCGTGATTGGCTCTTAATTTTGGGAATTTTGAGTATGCATTTTCTCGCTCTTTTGACATTATAAATCAAGATAGCCGCAGCGAGTTTTGCTCACCGAGTTGCTCGATCGCGCGATCGGCCTGTGTGTCGTCTTACTGTGTGCGCGCGCGCGCGCTTCCTTCGTGCGATTTTAGCCCGCAGGCGTTGCGTTACCCCGACGCGATCGAACGGCATGTGCTACTACGAAGTGCAGCCGGCGATGTGGCACTTTATATGGGCGCTTATCGCCGCGAGATTACGCCTGTTCGATCTCCATCGGATGTACACATGTCCCTTTGATTACGCTCGTGTAACTTCATCGCCGATGATCGTGCGTTTGCCATACACTCGTCACGGCGCACGAGAAGCGTCATCGATGCCTTTCGGTTTCGGCATATCCGGTTGCCTATCGCGCCTAGACACGTGTCCATCGTTGCTGTTGATTAAAAAACATTTCAAACTTATGTGTTCAACCGCTCGCACGGAACACTTACCAGCTGTCAAATTGTCAAACGCAGTTCCACCACGTGACGGGCCCTCCCTGTGTACCTAGAAACGTCCGGGCTCAAAAACGCCTGAACCAAAATTGGAAGGCATCGATGACGCTGAGTGCAACCGTTGCGACGTGGAAAATCGGAAGGGGTTTCTATGACATCAATATTGAACTTGCGCGAAAGGTTAATTCGTTTCTCTATTACAGTTCATGCGACTTTATGCCTCCGCACGTGTAGTCGATACTTTATGCATGAACAATAGAGAAGGGTAAAGTTGGCTGGAATGAAGTGGAGTGTAGAGCAGATAGACCGATATATTTGTTTGCGAGAGTTCCCTTGGGTACGCACAGTAATTTACACGAGTTTATAGCGCGTCATAAAAAACAAACACGAAATGTAAAGAATGAGGAAGGGAGAAAGGGATCGTAGCGCTGGACATTGCCGCGATAGAGCTGGTGAAAACACGACCGCGATCGGCTTGTAATAGTCTCTCTTAGTTCTCGGGAGAATACGGATACTAATTAAGAGCCCTGCGCGTTTCCCGGGAGAAGTGCGGACCTTCCCGCTTATCCTACCCGGTTCCCACAGTCTCTCTCTCTCTCTCTCTCTCTCTCTCTCTCTCTCTCTCTCTCTCTCTCTCTCTC